TGCTCGTCTTTTTCAAAGTTGTTTTGCCTCTTCTAAGTCTTTTGCATTTCCATATTGATTTAAAAAGAAGTTTTCCACTTTGTACAAAAAAGCCTGCTGGGATTTTGATTTGGATTGTATTGAATCTATAGTTCAGTTTGTATATAATTGACATTTTCAGTGTTGAGTCTTCTAATCCATGAAGATAGTATCTCTCTCCATTTATTTAAGTCTTTTTAAATTTCTCTCACCAGTATCTTGTCATTTTCAGCATACAGATCTTTTACGTGTTTTGTCAGATTTGTCTCTGAATATTTTTCTTTTTAAAAACTGCCATTGTAAGTGGAATTACTTTCTTAATTTTATTTTCAAATGGATGGAAATACTACTCTTTTTGAATATTGAATTTTGTATTTTAAAATATAACTAAACTTATTTTATCTAACAGCACTTTGATAGACTACTAATAGAACTTTCTATTTTTAATCCACATAAGGAGTTTTACTTCTTTTCTGTTATGGACTCATTTATTTGTCTTTGTAACACTGACTTGACCCCCCCCCCAGGTTCTTTTGAAAAGTATCAATAAGTGCAGACATTCTCGCCTTATTTCTGATTTTAGGAGGAAAGCATATTTTCATCATGAATTACAAAGTTAAGTTCTTTATCAGATTGAGAAATTTCCCTTCTATTACTAGTTTGTTGAGAGTTTTTATCAGGGATGCATGTTTGATTTTGTGAAACACTTTTCTTGGTTTGCAGTTATTGAGATGATGATCATATTTTTTTTTTCTTCTTTAATCTTTATTTATTGACTGTACTGGATCTTCATTGCTGTGCACAGGCTTTCTCTAGTTGTGGTGTGTGGACTTCCCATTGTGATGCCTTCTCCTATTGTGGAGCATGGGCTCTAGGGCCCATAGGCTTCAGTAGCTGTGGTATGTTGGGTCAGTAATTGCAGCACATGTGTTCTAGAGCATAAGCTTAGTGGCTGTGGCACACAGGACCTAGTTGCCCCACAGCATATAGAATGTTCTCAGACCTGTAATCGAATCCTTGTCCCTTGAATTGGCAGGCAGATTCTATACACTGGACCACCAGGAAAGTCCTCTTCTTTAAGCTTTTAATATGGTGAATTACATTGAACTAATTGTCAGATGTTGAAGCAGTCTTGCATCTGTAGGTGAACTCCATGCAGTGATGATGTATTATGATTTTGTATATTATTGGATGATATTTACTAAAAGTTTGTTAAGAATTTTTGCATCTATTTTCATGAGAGATATTTGACTGTAGTTTTCTTTATTGATCATATCTAATTTTGGTGTCAGAGCAATTCTGGTTTCATAGAATGAGTTGGGTAGAATTTTCTTCCCTTCAATTTTCTGCAAAAGCTCAATGTTACATTGTCCTTAAGTGATTATAGAATTCACTAGTGTAGCTATCTGGGCCTGAAGTGTTTTTTTAATGGTACAGTGTTTAACTATAAATTCAGTTTTTTAAAAGTTACTTGGGATTATTCAGTTCGTCTTTCTTTTTAAATGAGTTTTAGTATCTTATGTCTTTTAAGGAATTTATGCATTTCATCAGAGTTACCAAATTCATTGGCATAAAGTTGTTCATAGTATCATCTTGTTATGATTTTTATAGGTATAGAATCATTGTTGTTGATATCATCATGCCTGATATTGGTATTTTGTGTCTTCTCCTTTTTCTGTCTCACTTAGGCTTGGTAGATTGTTACCAATTTTATTGTTCTTCTCAAAGAACCAAGAGCTTTTGCTTTCAGTGATTTTTCTCTATTGTATTTCTTCTGTTTTCTATTTCTACTTTAATATTTATTACTTCATTTTTTTCTGCTTAATTTGTGTTTCACTAGCTTTTCTGGTTTTTAAGATGGAAACAGAACAGAAGTTATTGATTTAAGACATTTGCTTCTTTTCTAATATAAGTGTGTAGTGTTATAAGTTTCACTCTAAATACTAATTTAGCACCATCTCACAAATTTTCAGTTGTGATGCTTTTATTTTCCTTTAGTTCAACATGTTTTCCAATTTCCTTTTACTTCTTTGACTCATAGGCTATTTACAAGTATGTGAATTAATTTTAAAATATTTAGGCAGCTTCCAGATAAATTTCTATTATTGTTTTCTAATTAAATTTTATTTTAGTCAAACAGCACAGTTTGTATGACTTGAATTCCCTTAAATTCACTTAAATTGTTTTATGCTTCACAATATGGTATATCTTGGTAAATTGTTGAATGTGTACTTGAGAAACATGTGTATTATGATTTTGGGTACTGGAAAGTTCTGTAAGTGTCAGTTAGATTAAGTTGTTTGATAGTTGATTTTAAGTCTCCTTTATTTTTCCTAACTCTGTCTATATGTTATAAAAATTTTTAAAAGTCAATGGTTGAAACTTTTGACTATAATTATGAACTTATCTGTTTATTTTTGAATTTCTGTCAAATTTTGCTTCACATATTGCAAATTTCTGTTATTAAGTGCATAAACCTTTAGGATTATCATTCCATCTTAGTGAATTTACCCTTTATCATTATGAGATGACTGACTTTATCCTTAATAATATTCTTTGCTTTGAAATCTACATTGATATTAATCTAGGTTTTTAAAAAAATTATTTAGTTTGGTATAGTGTTTTTCATATTTTTATTTAATTTATTTGTCTTTATATTTAATGTGCAGTACTTAAGGCAGCATATAATTATCTTGTTTTTTATATAGTCTGAAAATTTATGCTTTTTAATAGGTGTGTCAGACTTGTTACATTTAATATGATTGTTAATATAATTGGGTTTAAATCTCCCATCTTTCTATTTGTGGTTTTTTTTTTTTTTTGTTCCATTTGTTCTTTTATTTCTCTTTTTCTCTGCTATCTTTTTATCTTCAGTTAGCTTTTTATCAAAATAACATTTTATTGTGTTATTTTAGTAGTTCTTTTAGGCTTTGTAGTATAAATCTTTAACTCAGCAGTCAGGAATCTATAGTCTCAGGCCAAATATGGCCTACTGATATTTTTTGTAAACAAAGTATTATTGTAACACAACCACACCCATGTGTTTAAGTATTGTCTATGATTAGTTTATTACTCTGAGTGTCCATTACATAAGGTGGCGATAATACCAACCTCATAAGGTTGTTTGGAAGATTGTAATAACATAATGAATGAAAAGTTTAAACTATAAACTGGCAAGTATATTATCTTGTCATGAAATTGTCTTTGAGGAAAACCTCATGAGGGACGTAAATAAGAAACTTACTATTATGTGCCAGTCACTTTTCATTCATTATCTTCCAAACAACCTTATGAAGTCAGTGTTATCACCACCTTACATAAGGACACTCAGAATGATAAACTAACCTACCCAGAAAAACATATAATTGCCATAAGCTATAAATTGGGCTTTCTTAGTGGTGCAGTGGAGAAGACTCTGCCTGCCAGTGCACGAGACACAGGATCCCTGGAAAGGGAAATGGCAACCCACTCCAATTGCCTGGAAAGTCTCATGGACAGAGGAGCCTGGTGGGCTACAGTCCATAGGGTCACAAAGATTCCCACACAATTTAGTGACTAAAACAACAACAAACAAAACTATAGACTGTTTCTTCTTTTAGAATTTCAAAGATTTTTGTTTAGGGTTTTCTTATGTGTTACATTTCAGTGAATGCTTTGATTAGCCTTCTTCAAAGGTGAAATAGGTAACATCTGTTTTTCTTCCTAATAAAATATCAAGTGAAAATGTTCTTATACTTTTACCATTATGATATTCAAATGAATTCTCCTGAAACTTAGATAATGAAAGTCTTTGTTTTTCTGCAGACTATTTTAAAAAGTGAGTGGAGCATCAAAATTTATCTTTAATTGCTCATTCTCAGTAATATTACTAGTAACCTTAATCTGCATAATATAATTCAGTGGCCATGATTCTGAGTGGACAAACCAGTTTCAAGATTTTATGATATGTCATTCAAATTTTGAACTTTCTTAATAATCTATATATTTTTTTAATGAAAATAAAAAATTTCTAGACAAGTTATTTGTTTTGCCAATTAGAAGCCCTTGCTAAATCTTAACAATTACATCTAATGGCTGAGTAGTGCCCAATTTTGTGTTTAAATTAACACTTATGAATATAGATGTAAACCTATAATAATACCACCTCATCTTTGCACACATAGAATTTTATAATTTACAAAGCTTTTTTTCCTTCACATAAACTAAGCTGACTCTTAAAACTATCTTGTTAAGTAGATGTAGCTGATACTATTATCCTTATTTTACAGGTTTAGAAACTTAAGCCCAGAGGGCTAAGTGACATGTCAGACATTATACTGCTAATTCTAAGTCCAGTGCACTTTTCACTTTATCAGAGTAACTCTATTCCTAGGTACAAAAGATTGAGGAATTCAGTGCCTTTAGACGCATGTATTCTACTGGCAGAAGAGTCCTGGACCTACCCCTTAGGTCAGAGATTGGATTTAGAATTGTGTTTAATGTAAGAGTTACTAATTGACAACTTATGTTAGTAATAGAAACTTTAGGTTAGTAGACCTGCTAAAAGCAAAATTATCACTGAGATGTGATAGTAGACAATGAAAGAGAAAATAGTAGAAATAGTGGAATTCCAGTACTAAAACAAAATATCCAATATATTGTAAAAATCCTGAGAATATCCCTATATATTAGTGCACTAAAATTAATAATTAAGTTATGATAATAAATCATTTTTAAAAAGTTAAATCTGTGTGATAGATTTAGTGTAAATAGATATACAAACTGCATAATATATTTTAGGAAGATCTACATTAAAATGATTAATAGTGAGAAAAGGATTCTTTTTTTTTGAGAGAGATTCTTGAAGAGGTTAATTTCATCTGTATACTTGTTTTATTTTCCTGTTTGCCTAGATTTGTCTGTTTCCTGTTTTTAAAAGAAGAAAATTTAAATAATTGCAACATAGAAAAAAGATTAAATGGTAAATTATTATTTTATTCTAGGTTCTGTTTACAGAGGAAGATGTGAAATTCTACCTTGCAGAACTAGCCCTTGCTTTGGATCATCTGCATCGATTAGGAATTGTATATAGAGACCTGAAGCCAGAAAAGTAAAGTTGTATTCTTTTTATGTATACCTGTTCCCAGTATTTCTGTAACTACTTTTTTCTCCATTAAGTCTGTTGTTTTAAAGATTCTATGAAAATATACATGAATTATACAATTATATGAAACATACTTTGAAAAGTAATCCTCATCAGATACCCATTGATTTTAAATTAGTCATTTCAAAATTTTCTGGTCTATCAAACTTTATATGAATATTTTATCCTGTGTTGTTGAATGTGAATTTTGATTTACAGCATTTTGCTTGATGAAATAGGACATATCAAGTTAACAGGTATGCAAATTTTCTTACTCTATCCTAAGCCTGTTTTCTGTTTTTATTAATATGTATATTTGTCTAAGCCTGTTTTTCCTCTTTCATGATTTAATTTGCATTTTATTCATTTCTTTAGTGAACTAAAATTCATTTAAAGGGTAGATAGCTTTCAATATGCTCTAATTGTAATACAAAAAAATATACAATAGTGTCATTGTTCTCATTAAGAAATGACATTTGGTTTTCTAGGTAAAAGCACATCATTTTTGTTTCAGTCTAGACTGAAAGATGTATCATAACTAGTTACCACATTTGAAATATAGTGAATTATAAACTTTTAAACCAGGTGTTTCATAATCAGAAGTTCATTTTATTCTTTTTTTTTTTGGTTAAAAACACGTTTTATTTTTTACTTTATTTTGAATGTTGAGTGTTTACAGTATACAACACATTCTGCTAATTCTCACAGGACTCTTAGGCATAAAGCCTCCTTATTATACCATTAAAATCTTTTACTTTCAAATAATTATAGACTAACAATAAGTTGCAAAAATAGTACCATCACCCAGCTTCCCCTATGGTGACATTTTATAAAATTACTACTGCATTATCAAACTCAGGAAATTGATAAGTACAGTAGAACTAACTAGACTATATATTTTACTTGGATTTCACCAGTTTTTGCATGTATTCATTTTTTTGTTTGTCTCCATGACATTATATCCATATATGTAGATTTGAATATTATCATCATTATCAATAAGCAGAACTGATCTACAACCATATCTGTCCATTTATAATCACAACTCTTCCCCCCTTCTTTAATTCCTGGCAACCACTTCTCTGCTCTACATTTCCCAGTTTGTTATATTAAGAATATGATACAAATAGAACTGTACAGTAGTCACATACCTGGACATTTATCCTAGAGAAATAAAAACTTACATGCGCACAAAAAATCTATACATGAATTTTCGTAGCAGCTCTATTTGAAATGGCCCAAGGCTGGAAATGTCCAAGATGTCCTTCAAAAAGTGAATGGATGGATACATCTATACAGTAGAATACTACCCAGCAGTATATGCAGCAACTTGGATTGGGCATTATGCTGAGTGAGCCACTCTCAAAAGGTTACTTATGTTTTAAATAGGTAGTAAATTATGTATTTAATTATCAGAATGTTAAAAAAGCGATAAAATGAAGATATGGTCTTTACAAAGAAGTTTGGACCAGTACACTTTAAAGGTAAGTTGCTTTAAATTCGTAAGTATACTGCTTCAGTAAAAAGTAAAGTATGAAGTTGTTAACTTGAAAGCTCAAGTAAATGTGACAAAGTTCAAGTAAAGTTTAGTAAATCTTATTCATTCACAGCCTGGTTATCTTTCTCATACATGAGACAATCAAAGCAGATTTAAACAGATTTAGAGTAGGTTCGATCCTTGGGTCAGGAACATCCCCTGGAGGAGTCCATGGCAATCCACTCCAGTACTCTTGCCTGTAGAATCCCATGGACAGAGCAAGTAGCCAGGCAGGCTATAATCCATAGGGTTGCAAAGAGTCAGACATGACTGAAGTGACTTAGCATGCACGCACGAGAGAACAAGGAATAAAAATATGAAGAGAGAACAGTAGAGTTTTGAAATTTTATACAAAGTATATTTTTTTATTTTATAACAGTCTTTAATTGGAAAGCTAATTATATTTAATTCTTTTCATTTTTCTTAATAAATTATGCTTGTTTTGTCTCAGATGAGGAAGGAAAGTGGGGAAAGAGTAGAATACATTCTACCTTTATCTGTCTTCTACATTAAGGTTAATTGGGTGAATAATGATATCAACTTGTTTTATATTTAGTCTTATAATATGAACTCTGCTGTTATACCTTTTGGACTTAAATTGACTAAGGAGTAAAGAATGTTTAGAATCAGTGTTAATTTATATAAGCAAGGGACTCAAGGCTTATAATGGAAATAAACTGTGATTTATGTTTATTTTTAAATAATTCAGTCTATATTCCTTTAAAGTGACACCAATATTTCTTTAACAAAAGTGCATAAGGGTAAATATTACCTAATTTACAGTTTAATGATTATAACCTAATTCGTAGTTTAACCTTTCCACATTCCAGTGTGGTTGGTTACAGATACCTCATAGCAAGCATCAGTATTTTAAGACATTTCAGTTTTTTCTTTCCTTTTTCTTTTTATTCTTCCTTTATTTCTCTTTTTTTCTTCCTTTCTTATGTGCTGTGCCTGTTTTCTCCTTCCTTCTCTCCCCTTCCTTCCATTTTGAATACTATCATCAAAAGTGCTATTTGCTATTTGTCTTTGATACCAGTGATGTCAAGTGATTTAGGAGTGTCTTTTCTAGTTATGGTCTTCCTCAGCATTCTAAGTTTCCCCAGAATAATCTTAGAAGATTACCTTTTTTTTAGAAGATAACTTTTTTTTCTCATTACCTGTTCACTTTAAAAATCCTCCAAATAAGAGGAATAGACTTTTTAGCAGATTAATCTGGAATAGCAGCAGACTATAGAAAGGTTCCTTTATATATTGACCTCATACTGAGATTATGTTTGTATAGCGAAGATCAGTAGAATTAAAGTGAATATTCCCCAAATACATGTGTACTTGCTAATATATTATTGATATTGTCTTTATGTCTTAGTTTTTATTTTCTTTTTTTTTCTACTGGAATGCCATCTACTAGTTTTGTAAAACAAACTATATTACATGACTTGCCTGGTTTAGAAAAAAGTTACTCATTATACCCTATTAAAAATTATAAATTGAACACAATTGATTTGAACTGTCTGTGGTTGCTATGTTTTCTTTTTTAAACTTTTAAATACCTACTTTAATAGTTTTTCAGACACTCTGGTTTTAGATACAGGTGCTTATAATACAGTTTAAAATCTGATCTGGAAGAATAAGTCATCCCTTATCTCTGCTTTTCACTATTCTGGTCTTTTACTGGGTGAACTGTGTTACTCATTTTTATCAGCAACCTGTGGAATTTATAGATGAAACACAGATCATGTTGGCTGCTTCTTTGAAGCAGACAGAAACATTCCACAGCCGTCTCTCCCTGAGTTCAGTTTTTCTTTTTCAGGTTTGCATGCTTTGGCCAGTCTGGTAAATGGGCTGAGTCATATATAGTACTTCCAGTGAGCCCTTCAAGTTCTCTTTTTCAATTCAGTTCAGTTCAGTCGCTCAGTTGTGTCCAACATTTTGTGACCCCATGGACTACAGCATGCCAGGCTTTCCTGTCCATTACCAACTCCCAGAGCTTTCTCAGACTCAAATCCATCGAGTTGGTGATGCCATCCAACCATCTCATCCTGTTGTCCCCTTTTCTTCCTGCCTTCAATCTTTCCCAGCATCAGGGTCTTTTCCAGCAAGTCAGTTCTCCGCATCAGGTGACCAAAGGATTGGAGCTTCAGCTTCAACATCAGCCCTTCTAATGAATATTCAGGACTGATTTCCTTTACAATGGACTGGTTGAATCTCCTTGCAGTCCAAGGGACTCTCAAGAGTCTTCTCTAACACCAAAGTTCAAAAGGATCAATTCTTCAGTACTCAACTTTCTTTATGGTCCAACTCTCACATCCATACATGACTACTGTAAAAACTATAGCTTTGACTAGAGGGACCTTTGTTGGAAAAGTAATATCTCTCTCTGCCTTTTACCATGCTGTCTAGGTTGGTCATAGCTTTTCTTCCAAGGAGTAAACATCTTTTAATTTCATGGCTGCAGTCACCATCTGCAGTGATTTTGGAGTCCCCAAATAGAAAGTCTGTCACTGTATCCATTGTTTCTCCATGTATTTGCCATGAAGTGATGGGACTGGATAATCACGATGGTGTGATCACTCACCTAGAGCCAAACATCCTGGAATGTGAAGTCAAGTGGGCCTTAGAAAGCATCACTACGAACAAAGCTAGTGGAGGTGATGGAATTCCAGTTGAGCTATTTCAAATCCTGAAAGACGATGTTGTGAAAGTGCTGCACTCAATATGCCAGCAAATTTGGAAAACTCAGCAGTGGCCACAGGACTGGAAAAGGTCAGTTTTCATTCCAATCCCAAAGAAAGGCAATCCCAGAGAATACTCAAACTTCTGCACTATTGCACTCATCTCACACGCGCAATGCTCAAAATTCTCCAAGCCAGGCTTCAGCAATACGTGAACTGTGAAATTCCAGATGTTCAAGCTGGTTTTAGAAAAGGCAGAGAAACCAGAGATCAAATTGCCAACATCCACTGGATCATCAAAAAAGCAAGATAGTTCCAGAAAAACATATATTTCTGCTTTATTGGCCATGTCAAAGCCTTTGACTGTGTGGATCACAATAAACTGTGGAAAATTCTGAAAGAGATGGGAATACCAAACCACCTGACCTGCCTCTTGAGAAACCTGTATGCAGGATAGGAAGCAACAGTTAGAACTGGATCTGAAACAACAGACTGGTTCAAAATAGGAAAAGGAGTATGTCAAGGCTGTATATTGTCACCCTGCTTATTTAACTTATATGCAGAGTACATCATGAGAAACGCTGGGCTGGAAGAAGCACAAGCTGGAATCAAGATTGCCAGGAGAAATATCAATAACCTCATATATGCAGATGGTACCACCCTTATGGCAGAAAGTGAAGAGGAACTAAAGAACCTCTTGATGAAAGTGAAAGAGGAGAGTGAAAAAGTTGGCTTAAAGCTCAACATTCAGAAAACTAAGACCATGGCATCTTGTCCCATCACTTCATGGGAAATAGATGGGAAACAGTGGAAACAGTGTCAGACTTTATCTTTTTGGGCTCCAAAATCACTACAGATGGTGATTGCAGCCATGAAATTAAAAGACACTTACTCCTTGGAAGGAAAGTTATGACCAACCTAAACAGCATATTAAAAATCAGAGACATTACTTTGCCAACAAAGGTCTGTCTAGTCGAGGCTATGGTTTTTCCAGTGGTCATATATGGCTGTGAGAGTTGGACTATGAAGAAAGCTGAGTGCTGAA